TATATATATATATATATATATATATATATATATATATATATATATATATATATATATATATATATATATATATATATTGATTTTCACTTATTTTTATCTCCTATTTTCTATTGGTTCATTTATTTAGTGATTAATTTCATATTATGACATTTAAGTGTAAAATATTTTTTTTCTGAATAAATTTATATTATTAAATTTGTATAAAATATTGATGTTGTTACTAATATCACTATATAAATGTGATTATAATAGTTATTGTATTGCCATATATATTAAACTAATCACTATTTTCACATCTCACTCGCAAAATTGGTGGAATGACTAATAAAATTAACACAAACCTCCTCTTCGATGTGATATATATATTAATTCAATTCTACATGATATAATGTCCACGTCATCATCACATATATTTACCCTTATTTGGTTTTCATGCACAACACCCAGATATTTAATTCGATGTCGAGACACGTCTAGATAAGGTAGCTCATAACCTTGCACCTAAGACTATTTGATTATGAGTTCGAGACACTTATAGAGGAATTTGCGAACCAGTAACTAATCAATCGGGGATTCAAAATTTACCCTAAACTTAATTGAATTTGTTGGATTTAGTATGCCATATATAAACACCAAATTTAGAGATTAAAATTCGAGTTGGGCCCACTTGTCGGACTAGATATTGTCCAAGTACATGGTATATGAAACTATAATAAACTATCCTTAAAGCTGAACTAAAATGGAATTATATGAAAAGAACTGCAGACTTTCAGACACTGTGTGAAATAGTCACCATCCACTTTTGCCACCCGCACTCATCAACAAAAACACACACACACACACTTTCTTTAGTTAGTGGCTTCTAGACGGCCGGACTATTAGGCCAAGACTTTGGGCCACGCACGCCTATCTGACTTCACGCGCCTCCATTGGCCGCCCACCCACCGCCATGTAGAATTCTTCATATATACCCAATGGCCCACTGTGTGTGTGTGTGTGTCTGTGTGTTTGAGTTGGTCATAAATCATAATTCATGTTTACAAAGTAATTAATTTGATTTCCATACTCTTTGGATATATATTATGTAAAATATATAATATATTCTTTAATTCTTCGGTCTGATTCAAATTAAAATCATGATAAGCATCAGTAGTACTCTTTAGTATCGAATTAGGGTGAATTACGGCCACTCCTGAAGTAATGTGAAAAACATTCTCTAGTTCCGTGGTGTCAAAGTCAACGGAATATTTTTCTACATTCTATGGAATGTTCTCTAGTTTGTACCGCAAAAAATGCGGTTTCTGATGCACCACAATCTGATATTTACAAGACAATCGACACATCTTTTGATCATTTTGTTTCAAAATCATGTGGGACCTCAAATGTGATAAAACGAGTACAAGTTAGATAATATTCCACATAATCTAGAAAATTTCACTGAATTTGACACCACATGTAAAAAGATTCATAGTTGAGTTGAGAGATTGGTTGTAATTACCCAAACATGAAGAGTTTTTTCGTAATTTGACTTTACCTTAGAGATTTGACCGGAATTTACCCAATTCAATTATGTAAGACCGTAAACTATGCGATATATAACAAAGCCCAAGAAAAATATGACTTAGCCATAGAGATCTATATATATATCACCCTGTCTATGTAGGTCAGCCCATAAATGAGTGTATTTTTCTAGGTCCATGTAAAATATTAGGATATATATATATATATATATATATATATATATATATATATATATATATATATATATATATATATATATATATATATATATATATATATATATATATATATATATATATATATATATATATATATATATATCCGGTGTATAACTAACTTGAACAAAATGGTTTGAAAAATTGTGTGCATTGCAGCTATTATTATTTGAATGATTGCAATTCTCCAAATATTTAAATCTCAGGTCTCAGCTCCAGCTGAATCCATTTAAATCCAACTGATGATGCTTGTAGCTCGAAGCCGCATTGTTCTCACTGCCCGTGTTGAGATCAAGTCTCGTCGAAAACAAGGGCATTTTCGTCTTTTCACTCCTCTCCGTTTTCATCAACAGTTTCCCATCCGAACCATCATCTCCTTTATTAAACATGTCTTCTGTACCATAGTACTTCCCACTATCATTCCACTGATCACCACCCTCAATTCCAATGCTCATCGACAAATTATTCCCCGAATTAATAAACCCCCTGTCCACGTCATCACCGCTCTCCTTCGTTTCTTCGCGCCACCTGGCGCCGTCGTCCTTGCGATCTCTCTCCTCCGTGTTTGTCCGAAAACCGAGCGCGTGTTTATCATTTAAGCCCATGAGATTGTTGTACAGCACTACTTCTTGGTCCCGGATTGAACCTTCGAAAGACGATGTTAAACAGCTGTCTATCGAACAATCCGTCGGCTTATTCGCTTGCTTTTGCTGGCTCATGCACAAATCCGAGAGCTCTTTCATATCTGAAAACGCAGAACTAAAGCATTGTGTCGATACTTTCGACACCAAATCGGATAACTGAACTTTGGCAGCTTCTAAGCCGACTGTTCCCATGTTCTGCCCTCCGAGTGTTTCTTGCGCCTTCTCCAACACCGATTGCAAGTACTTCCCTTGCGCTTCTATTCGCAGCTGCAAATGCCGTTGCACCTATAAATATATACGTATATCTAGTCGTCGCGTTAAAAAATTTCTACTCATGATTCTTGAAAATGGTACTTGAAAAAGATTTATATATAATCGTGATTAATTAATTAATTACCTCGAGCTGTTCGTGTAGCCTTCGTTGCACTTCGATTTGCATTTGTAATGCTTCGCCTATATGCATATTTCTAATATACAACACATGAAATACCATTGTTAGTTGTGACTTGTAAACAGGGGAGAAAATAACATAAGCCGATGATTTTTCGAGTATTCTTACTTATTAGTTGTAGTAAGAGGTGGTGCCGTGTTTTGATTTGTGATGTGGACACCGTTTGGCTCGCCGGGTACTCTATCTACCGTAGCTGCAATTATTTCTCTACTCCGTCAGCAATATATACATACGGTCTCTGTAATAGGTAAGATAATCTATTATTAAACAATGTTTTATTACCAGATTTGTTGCTCACAGTATTAGCTTGTCCGTTGAGGCTCTTACTGAGCCGGTATTTCTGCAGGAACGGAAAACGAGAAAAAAAACCCGAGAATTAGTTACGTAATATAAACAAAACGATAGTATATTATAAGAATACAGTTAAACCTCTATAAATTATTACATTCGGGACTGACAAAATTCTATTAATTTAGCGAAATATTAAATTATCGAGCTAATAATTTAGTACCTTTTTACCGACTCGGGACTGTAAGAAATAATTATTTAAAGGAGCTTATTAATTTATCGAGGTTCTACTGTAATATTTATTACCTGAAGGTGACTCTTCAAGTGGTATAAGGTCAGTCCTTGAATTCCCATAAGTTTCAATACTGATTTCGGAGTCGCTTCTGCAATAAAGCGAAATTATATACGATCGATTAGTTTCGTGAAAATTTTTGTTTTAATTTTTTTTTTTTTTTTTTTTTTTTTTTGTCGATGCTTACTATCGGCTCCGCCTAATTGATTGACGGCTTCTATGAAGCGTTGATGAAGATCAGGAGTCCATTTGAGTCTAGGCTTAGCATCGGTCGATAGTACAAGTCCCGATTGATCTCCATTGTTGTTGCTACTCGTTGGACCTTGAAGAAACAAGTGCCTTTCGGATGGAATCGACATTCTTGTTGAAGCTTGAATGTTCTTTCCTTGGTGGTGGTGGTGGTGGTGATGATGGTGATACATTCTGGCTGTCTTAAATCTAGTAAATAATTAGACAGATTTTTCGATAATCGTTGTCCACATTGAGAAACGAACTACATGATCGAATATAAAGAGATAAAGAGATCAATATACCTGGGAGGAATCGGCTAAGTTCCGTTGCCTATTTTTCTTAGCTTCTTTAGCACTGGGCGA